TAGTATAATAATGTACTTGTCTTCACGTATTACGACTATTACGCATATGCGAACAATGAACAATAATGATTATAATATATGTAGTTATTAATTATTTAAAACACTATTCTGCCCAACTAAATCAATCGAAAACCGTAATCTTGCGCAAAACTAGCACAAATATACCTGCAGGCAATTTATCATATATATTAAAATATGAAACGCCCGAAAAAATCCTGAGTACTGAGTATTAAARCGTATAATGTAACAAATCACACGCGGATGGTATGAATGTCTTTTTTTAAATATTCTGTTTGAAAATATTTTAATTTTAAACCTACTATCTTTAGAAAAATTTAAATTACGAAGAAAAAAATTCATTACGTTCTTATATAATTCTACGATTAATAACGGAGCTTTGAAGAACAAAATTTAGTTTACTGTGTGTGACATGAAATAAATTATTACACTATTAGAATTTACCTAAGAMTTGCATCACTCAAAACTGCAAGGCCTCTGACAGATTCGAATCATAGTTGAAGTAAAAACTAAGAATCTAAATAATTTGTCCTTTTTTTTTCGTATCAAATGAGATTTTTGCACAGAAAATCGATATAATATTATAAACGTGTGTAGTTTACACGTCATGTTTAATTTAAAGTCAACAGTTAACAGCTCTAATATAATATTATTATTATCTCTTTTTAATTTTCTCAGTTCTGTCAATCAAATATGATTTCYGATGGTACCAAACCCGAAAAACTAAATTTTAATTTAGAACGTATACCTAAGCAAAAATAAAGAATCCTAAGACTATCACGTTGGCTCATATTAGTCATATTAGTTTAGTAAGTTATGTTTTATAAAATCAAAATTTCTAAAAGATCTGTTCACGAATAGTAGTTTCTATGTTATAAGTATGCCACATTTCGAAGCTAAGCACTATAATGTCCGAATCGAATATAGTTTATTACGATACCATATAGTTGGTAAGCCCACGTTCAATGTGTAAACGCACGCCATTATGGTGGATGGTCTGTGTATTAAGGAGTAATCCATTACCTCGATCTAGACCGTACTAAGATAAAAATCTATCCAACAGCCCAAGTGTTGATGTAACTTTAGGTAATGTACACATTATTAGGTATATAGTTAAAACGTTCACCGAATAAGTTTTATAAGTAAAATAAACTTCAGATATTATTGATTTTTCAGAACAAGTTAACATGGACAGAAATCAGAATTATTYGACGTGCAGATGAACGGCGGCAGACGAAAAAGAGTGATGATGGAGTGGAATAATTATAAATTTTTCAGTTCGATTTCGTGGCTTACAGCCTAGCTATTTAGATTTAAACTTATACACATACATATAAACGCAATAATAATACAAAGCTACTGAGTCGGGCGCGTTTTTAACACTATGCTCGACACTTGTATACAATATACAAAGTGATACAAATTGTGTATTTTTATGAGTGTATGTTTCGTTATCACGATGATCGTATATACAACGAACAGACCAAGTAGACGGTATTAGGTATGCATATATAATATATATATATATATATATATATATAATATTATTGTTATCGGCAAACGTTCGGAAACGGATTACTTGGGTGAAAACGTGTCTGACTTACTTGGTGCGTGTCGGTTGCTGGTGATCGAATTCATGATGTCGAATCGGACGGCGAGGCTGAGGTCCGGTTTCTCGGCGTTGGCTTTGGCCCTGCGGCCAATCGATCGTCCGGACAGCACGTCATGCACCGCACTCCTGAGTTGTCTGCGCCAGAAAAATATACACGTGAGAATAAAATATAGTCATTGTACTTTGTTGATTCGAGTATATTATTAATAATGATAATTGTCTAAGAGAGGGAGTGAAATAAAAATGTTTCGTCGCAAGACGCGAATTGCAAATATAAAAATAATATAAACCTATGGTAAGAATCATTCCAGTTTTTTCATCTCTTCCAGACCGTCAATAGAGTGAGATGAAAATAAGAAAGATAACATATTATACATTTTTTTAAATATAATATATCCGTAACGGTTGCACCTATTTTAATTTGTTCCAAATGAATAAATCAGCAATTTATTTAAAATCTTATCGCTCAAAATTTTGGTTATTTTTGTAAACATCAGTTGTCAGTTACTACTTAAAAATCACGTACTTATTTATAATTATATAAATTATTATAATATTTGAAGCGTTTCCTAYTATGGACAAATTTTCTATTTTCATTAATAAGTTACATATTGGCAGCAAATAAGTGTATATAATTTTGAGAAAATACCCGCATAGTTTTAATATCCTATCCAAATCAGAACTTAAATGCGTGTATAGCAAATAAGGCAGAAACTCTGAAACTGAAAGCAGAAAAAAAGGGCAAGAGGGTGAGTCCTYCCTTATATCCTCGTGTAAACACGCCACTGCTGATACGTATAAAAAAATCAAGTGACGTCGTCAGRAGACCACTAAATAATATCTATTATTAATATGATAACAAAAACGTCATGTAAGTTAATGCTTGCGCCGCGTCGTGAAGTGTTTGTATAATTATTATAAAGGTACTTGTCATGTAATATGAAATCGCTCTCGACCTTTTACACACGCAGACGCACGCACACACACACACACACCCACCCACCCACACACACACATACACACACACACACACGCACGCACGCACGATTATGCAATTATATTATATAGCATTGCGACGGCGCTGTTGCCCGAGGGTGTTGTTTTGCGTTAATGACTCCGAAGCGTTTATAATTGTAAAAATATCAGCACGAAGCGAAAAGAAAAAAAATGTTTAGAAAACATCGAAAAGTTTACTGATCAAAACGGATGTTACGGTTATGGCCGACAACAGGGAACGTTTCACGAGAGCATGCAATAAAAGGAGAATTTTGGGGAATATGACGCGTTGACTTATATTTTTTGTTTTGTTCGTTTATAATCTATACTATTATTATAATTATAATSTCATTGTTTTATTTATGTTAAGATCAGATAATATGATGCCGTGTGCCAACGGTTATCTTTTTATTATGTAAAATTGTATAAATACGATAGGAAGGTTGTTGGTGAGTATAATTAAAACTTTACAGAAATGCCAAGCCCGCAGGTAATCGAATATTGGTTTTGTTAAAATTAAGTTTAAATACAATACGGTGTTAAAAACAAACTAGATGAGATCCTTTGAAATTTAAATGCCACGATTTTTTATTAAATGATGTAAATTATATAATATGTAGTTTTGTATTTTATTTGTTTTTTATTTTCGCAAGAAACTTCCTTTCTTTGAATTCAAACTTTGCGAATGTGAACAAAAGTTCCCTAGAAGTGATTAGGTAGCACTCGGTGAAATTCTACGAAAAATGAAACCTAATAATATTTAATCTAATGTTTTAGCTTCTTTTCTTATACTCTATACTGGCGATATTTATTTATTTTTTTTTTTTTGTAAGGAGAACCTAGGCAACATAGGCCATTGGGTGTGGGGTGGTACGGTAGGGGTTATTTTTGTATGTTTGTTTGTAGGTTTTTAAGCGGGTAGGGTTGTAACACGTGTTTGTGTAGGTATGTGTGGCAAGGATATGTTGCTAAAAATCCCGGGTGGTCACCCATCCGGGAGCTAGCAACTGCGGCCGGTACGTACGCTCAGTGCATTTCCGCAGATTGAGCGTACGACCGCGCCTCACCRGGCCACGATATTTATTAATAACTGTTATTTTACTAAAATTCAACAGACATTTTACAGCTCGATCGCGATATCATGATATCAGTTGTTTCTGTGGTGAGAAAATTAAGACAACAACATTAATATATATTATATATCATCATATATACATGAGAATGTGTTAAATTTAAATTAAATAAAGATTATATGCTAATTATTGATCACCAGTACTTCTCTGCTGGCAATATAATTCCCTAATAACCACAAGACATACCTACATTTTTTTTTATTGTATACAATACACCAAACATTTTAAATTCTATTACTTTTTTTTAGTTTAAACAAGTTTATAACAAAAAATATTTTTATTTTCCTTATTTCACTAAAAATCAAACAAGCATTTACAGGACYGTACGGATTTTAAGTATTCTACGCAGATCATTAATCTGATAAAACAATTATTCTCATTTAATGTGCTGTCACCACTCGTGATGTCAATTTTTACATTAGGTACTCGGATCCGATTAAAAAATAATAATAATCGATTAGTTAAAATTCAAGTTAGAGAGTTACTGAAAACTGTTAGTTATTTAAATAATAATCTTATAATAAAACTAACAAAAAAACAGATAATAATGTTCAAAGACCTAAATGCGTTAGAATTCTTTAGTTTTTTTTATCAACCACCTTAAAAATTGAAATTGTCAAAAATTTAAACATCCACAAAATAAAAACGTCTTATTTTGATTAAATAATATATAAAGCA